TTACTCAAGGTAAGAGTCAAGACACCCAGAGGCACGGATAGAGCTCATGAGTTAATCTGTTATGGGTTGGATGAAATTGCAAATGTTCACAGAGTAATCAAAGCACAGCAACTCAAGAAGTTCTTCCCTGAGACCAACCTGGAAGATCTTCACAGACCGGAACATGTTGAGCTTCTCATAAGCCACCGTGAAGGAAGACTTGCTCCACAGAGAATAAAAGTAGTAGGAGATCTCGTCCTGTGGGAAGGCCCCTTAGGAAAAACTGTTGGCGGAGCACATCCAGACCTCTGTGAAATAGTGGGTATGGCCCTGCACAATTCTGAGACTCACTTTGCACGGTCAATGAGGGTCACAGCAGTGAAGTACCAGGAAATTGCCAAGATGCAAGAATCCAGAGCTCAAACCAAAGCCACTGTTATTGGCAGGGAATTCTTGGACTGGTGGAAGTGGGACAGCATTGGTGCGGCTTGCGAACCCATGTGTGGAGGATGCCGGTGTGGTAACTGTCAGCCAGGAGGCAAAGACATGACTCTGAGTGAAGAAAGAGAGCTTGAGATGATCAGGCAGGGCCTCAGCTATGTGAAGTCAGATGCGCATAGTCGAGAGCCTCACTGAGATGCAAAATACCCGTGGATTGAAGATCCAAGTTCCCTGCCCAACAACAGAAGCGCAGTGGAAGCCACGTTTCTGAGGACGGAGAAACGGCTCAAGAAAGAACCAGAGTGGCGTACAGCATACTCAACTCAAGTCCATAAGATGGTGGAAAGGAGGGCAGCGAAGAAACTCACTAGAGAGACCATTGCTGACTGGAAAGGACCAGTATGGTACGTCAGTCACTTGGTGGCGCCAAACCCGAACTCTGTAACAACACCTGTCCGACTGGTATGGAACAGCAGCCAAAAGTTTAGAGGAATCAGCATGAATGACCTTCTCCTGAAAGGGCCTGATGTGCTTAATCCCATTCGAGCAGTGCTACTAAGGTTCAGGAGAGGAGTCCATGCTGCCCTCGGCGACATCAAAAAGATGTACAATTCTGTGTGGCTCGAAAACCTGGAGATGCACCTCCATAGATTTCTCTGGAGAAACAGCGAAGATGAAGAAATTGAGGAATTTGCCATCACCAGGGTCAACATGGGCGATCGACCGGCAGGGTGCATCGCACAACTGGCCATGAGAGAGACAGCAAGGCTGCCCATGTTCACTCACCTGGAAGAGGAACGGAGAGTCCTTGAGGAGGATTCCTATGTAGATGACATTCTGACATCCCACAATGACCTGGAAAAGCTAGACAGAATCACCAAAAAGGTCGAAGAAATTCTGAAGGCAGGTGGATTCTTCCTAAAGCCATGGGTCCGATCAGGCCAAAGTGGGAGGCAGACGTCCACATCAGAACGTCCAGCATCGTTCGAGGAAGTCTTCATTCTCCCCAACCAAATGAGGGAAGGGAACAAAGCCCTGGGAGTTGGTTACCTGGTCGAACCAGACAAACTATACCTCACGACCTCGATAAACTTCTCAAAGAGAAAAAAGAAGATGAGAATCGGTCAAAATCTCGTCGAGGAAGAGGTGAGGAGAAAAACTCCAAACCCATTGACTAGAAGACAACTGCTTAGCCAAGTAGCTAGTTTATATGATCCAATAGGCCTTGCAACACCTGCCAAACAGAAAGGAGCCATTCTGGTCAGGAAAGCATTTCAAGAAACGGGAGGCAAGAATCTTCTACGAGACACATGGGACACACCGCTGTCTGAAAGACTCAGGGAAGAAGCCATCCACCTGTTTGAGGAATACACACGCCTCAACCAAATTACCTTCCATAGAAGCCTCACACCAGTCAGAAGGATTGGAGAACCCTGGGGAATAACATTCTCAGATGGTAGCGACCAGAGCTATGGAGCTGTTGCATACTTCAGGTGGGAGACCAAGCAAGGCATTCTGGTCCGGCTCATTGAGTCCAAAGCCAAGCTCACACCACTTGACCAAAAGGGAGAAGCAGTGAAGGCTGAGGTCTGTGGTGCTGTATTTGCGGCAAGACTGAGAAAATACATTGAAAAGCACAGTCGGATACAAGTCAAACGGTGGCTCCATCTGCTGGACAGTCAAACTGTGCTGGGTGCCATCCAAAGGGACAGTTATGGGTACCAAACCTTTTTTGCGAACAGAGTGGGAGAGATCCAGAAGTCCACATCAGTTGGAGATTGGAGATGGATTCCAGGTGAACAAAACATTGCTGACCTTGTCACAAGAGGAGCAACGCCAGAAGACCTCAAAGAAACCTCTGTGTGGCAGAAAGGCC